AAAAATAATGAATGCAGAAACAGGTGTCCCAACACAGATTTTCTAGTGAGCACCTTTCTCCTCGGAGCCTAGCTTCTAAGATGAATTCTTTCTACTTCCATACTTCAAAAAACAAAACAAAAGGAAAAGCACCTCCTTCAGCTAAGACAGCAGAAGGTTGACAGCCACAACTGAGAACAGAACCAGTCCTGAACGTCACAGGGCAAACGGCCAACACAGGTCTTCCTCTGCACTCCAGGGACACGTCGCTTCTTCTTCCTCTTGGCTCTCATGTTTTCTAAGAAGGTGGCATTGAGGCCAAGAATTAATTAACTTCCCTCCTGAGCCCAACATAGATGACAAGCGACACAAGTTACCAGGCCTCACAAATTACAGTTTTTAACCCCTTTCATCCCTGCATTGGCACGCGGTTGCTAACTTTAATAGCCCCTCACAAAGCAGCAGCGAGTGTCATTATACCTGCATTAAGGCTGAAGAGTCACCCACAGGCCACAAGCTGAGTCAGTGTGAGAGCGAGTCTGAACTCCTGACTACCAAATGCCTTGCCCTCATCCCACTGCGGGAGCATGTCTTACTTGAAGCTGGTGACTCCAGCTCAGGGCCTTCTTGTGGGAGGCCAGCTCCCACCTTTTAAAAGGGTTCCTAGGAGGAGGAGAGAGGGACAAGAAACTTTTAGATGGAAAGATAGTGAAGCGGCGAAAGACAGAAACACAGGATAGCTTCGGGAGGACCTGGATCAAAACCCAGCGGTCCCTTTTGCCGCTTCAAAGGGGCTTTTTATAACAATGCCAAGGAGCGAGGCAAAAAGACCTCCCCTTTGCTAGATCAAAGCATACTGCACAGCCAAGTGTAGACCCTTCCAAACACCTGGTAACCAGCCTGTGGTCAAATCATCCCCTTATGCGGCCCTGCTGGGGTAAAGCAAGCTCAGATTCTTGGACGCTGAGTAAGTTCTCACAAGGAAACCTCTGTGGGTCTCTACACCTTCTCTATGGTCTCATTTTCATTCTATAACCATCAAGGTTGTTGTAACCGAGCAGAGGGAGAAGATGGAAGGGGGGCGATTTGAACACTCTCTCATATTGGAGAATATCTGAGGAGCTAAGATACCAAGAATTTCAGCTCTGGATGCTCAGCAAGTAGAGCTTGGTCGATATTCATTCTCTTGTCAAGATGATTTTATACAATAAAAAACCAGCACAAGGGCTGGAGCTGGGACTCGGTGGTGAAGCCCTTGCCTAGCACTCAGGAGACCCTAGTTCAATGTCACGTACCGTCAAAAATCAAAGGAAAACAGGCAAGACAAGACAAAACTCTACAACTTAACCCAAGAGCACTGAGCAGTAACAGCACCTAACACAGGAAAGAAAGGATGGCTTCCCTTTCCTTAAAGAAGGTAACGCCTAACTGACCCTAACTAGGGATTCACACATCCAAGTGGACATGAGGATCTGAAGGAAGATGCTAGGAAAAGAGGATAGCATGATCAGAAGTGAGCAAAGAAGAGCACATTATATGCAGGGAAGTACAAATAGTTTGGTACATTCAAGTGTAAGCCAGGGAGTGGTGGGCAGGGTGTTGGCAGAGGTAGGCAATACAGGCCAGGTCTATCAAGTACACATAGGTTTCATGTTCAATCCATTCAGTTTCTTATACCAGATCTGCTACTGGACCCTATACGGCCTCATCCTCCCTCCTCCGTTCTAGTGCAGTTGCCGACATTTGGCACTCTGAGGCCAAGTGATGGCATATCCTCAGATAATCAGCCTTCCTGGCTTCAAGTTTACATTGAGACCCTGTATCAAGGGCAGTGGTGGGGGGTAGGGACTTACTTGTCAACTACTGTTATGGTTTGGATCTTCAATGTCATTAAAGGGCGTGTTAAAGGCTTGGTCCCCAGCCTATGGTGCTATTGGTCAGCAAAGGAACCTTTAGGAGGTGGAGCCTAGTGGAAGGAATTGGGTCACTGGGGTGGGTGGGGGGGGCTGTGTGTCCTTGAAGAGGACAGTGAGACTCCAGCCCTTGACTCACTCTCGCTTCCTAGGTACATGGGTGAGTGGCTTTGTCCCACTGCTCACAGTGATGTCCCTTCTTAATCCAGCCCCAAAGCAACTGGCCATATGACCATAGATAAAAATCCCTGAGCCAGAATAAATCTCTCTTCTCTTTATAGTCTCTGTCTTGAACATTTTGTTACAGTGAGGAAAAGCTAAAGCCAGATATTAAATGAAAATTTCAGTTTGTTGCTGTTGTTACCTTTCTCTGGTCTGAAACCTGGTCTAACATTCCAAGTGGGGGCTCACTCAGATATCTCAACAGAAAAGGAAATGGTCCCTCTCTAAAAGCAGAAAGAAAATACTGCATAGCATTGGGACCTCTTACATGGTACCGTTCTGCCATGAATATAAAATCTGCCACTTCAGAACAGTGTGGTCCCTCTCAAATGTAACCTTGTCTTGGAAAGCTAACCTGTACTTACTTAGTGTATTAATCAAATGCTATTAAATTAGTGAATATTTACCTTTTTATATATAATCAAGACAAGCAAAATGGATATATCTCCAGGGCAACATTGTGAATTTATATGTAAAACACAAGCACAGACCTGATAATCTGTTTTACTTATCCATCTCAACCTGGAGTGTTGGTCATAGCAACTGTCTTATTCAGTAAACAACTATCTGGCCAGGCAGTGGTGGTGCACGCCTTTGAGCCAGCACTCATGAGGCAAAGGCAGGTAGATCTTTGTGAGTACGAGGCCAGCCTGAACTACTGAGCTATTTCCTGGACAGCCATGGCTACACAGAGAAACCCTGCCCCGAAAAACTAAAAACTAAATAAGTAAACAAATAAACATCTGTTGAACATCTAATACAGTCCTAAAAGAGACACGACCTGAGTTTCCGCTACAGAAGGTCAGTCTGTAAATGGATGCATTCAGCTACCAGAATCACAAGGGTGGGTTTGAGGACATGCACAGAGGAGGCTGGATGAAGGCAGGTTACTCCCTTGTCAGCACGGTGTCCTTGGCCATGCACTTAGGTCACACTTATCAGTGGTATTATGCTGTCAGGGGATTATGCTATCTCACAAAGCAAGGTGCCAGATATTTCTAATTCCTAGAACCTCTTCCCAGAGCCTGTCTCCATACCTGCCATGTGTTCTTGGACGTACCTGCAGCAAAGGCTGGTTATCACACAACCTGGAACAGCCTTCACTTTAAAAGTCCTCAGAACCTGTCAAGTTACGCCGGGCATAGCAGTGTAAGTCTATAAATCCCAGCCCTTGGGAGGTAGAGACAGGAAGAGCAAGAGTTCAAGACAGGCTCTGCTGCCCAATGAGGTCGTGGCCAGGACATGCTGCACGACATGGTCTAAATACCAATAAAAACCAGTCGAGTGGTTGGATTAGAGCTGAGGGAAGGTGCCAGAGTTCTCTGGGTGCCAGTCTTTAGGGAGGTGTTTGAACTAACATTCCCAACTCCTAAGACCAAGAAGAGGCGAGGCAAAGGGCCACCATTGGGTTCCAGTTTCTAGTGTGATGCTGGAAGAGAGATGCTGCTTCGTTTTCTTAGACGTATTTCTTTCTCCTGTGTGTGCCTACAAGTGTGCGTGTGCTATGGACACGTGGAAATCAAAGCTCTGACAATTTGCAGTTGCTCCTTCCAGAGTATCAAGGACCAAGGGGGTCCAGCCCCTCGATAGTCCCCTCCCAGGGTCTGGGAAGATTCTACAACCAGCTGATAATCTTTGAAGAAAAGAAACGAATCTATGTACACGAAACTCCTTAGTCCATACACTTTATTATTCTGTCAGTTCTCTTCTCTACAAACTTATACTCTGCTCTCATTTTTAGCTCCTTTCTTGCCCAATTTCTCTTTACATTTATCTGCTGTCCCCTCTAGGTTCTATCTTAATTCCTTCATCTTGTTCTGCCCCTTCTAGGTTCTCATCCATCTAGTTCTTTCCCATATCAGTTCCTCTCCCATCTCCTTCTCTCTCACCTGTTCTTCCTCATCTTGTTCTTCCCCATCTGGCTCTTCCTCATCTTCCATCTTGTCCACACATTCTCTCTGGTCAAAATCCTCCTTGTCCCTCTCTGTTCTCCATCTCTAAGTTCTCCACATCCCTCCAAAGTCTCCCAGGAATCCAGTTATAAACCCAAGCAATAGCAAGCCCCTGGTCCAGCAAGGTCACCAGGCTTGAATTCTATGAGGTCATAAAGGCAGGTAAGAATTTTCCTCAGGCAGTGACCACCAGGCTTCCAGGGTCAAACAGAGGGGTGATAAGAATCACATAGAATGATAATTGTTAATTATCATTTGCAACCCAAAAGGAAAGTGACTAATGGGGAAATGAATTAACTAAAGGCTAAGTGTTAGGTAATATCTAAGAAGAGGGATCTTATACGCTCCACTATAGTCTTAAATGTGATTGGTAGAAAACGTTAAGAATCTGTAAGTTGCTAGGTCAGTGGGAGAAAATAAAACTGCCTTCTTTTTTCCTGTGGCTCCTATCTGTCCAAGCTATCTGCCATTTTTCTGCAGGGTGGGGGAAGGTGTGTTCAGTCGCTAAGCAACCCGTGCACAGCTAGATGCCTCTGGTGATAGTTAAAGGGAGATCTGGAACTAGAGGTAAGATTTGGGAAAGGAGGAAGTTAAGGTTAATTGGCACATCTGCCAGGCCTTCTCAAACAGGTAGTCTGGATGCTTAAGTCTGTTCTTAAAGAGTACAGAGGTATCTCTGATAAAGTACTTTCCTCCATCTGAGGATGGACCTGGCCGGATGCTGCCAATGACGATAATTACAGGGAGGCTTGAACTGGGGTTCTGGCTGTGCATAGCTGTCAGCGCAGAAGGTTATCTAAATATTCCTTTAGAAGAGGGGAAATGGTGCCCAATAAATGATGGAAAAGCTACAACAGCACACAAGAAACTCATAGCAGGAAACAGCTGATAATCTGAAGCCAAATATCACCAAGGCTCCTTGAGCCTCAGCTTGACCTCTGGAAGGCCCTCAGCTCCTTCCAGGTATTAGCTTTGTCATAATCAGCTGAAATCCTGCTTTGTATATTTTTGTGGCTTGCAGCACCAGAGACTGAACTCAGGTGTTCAGCCTTGATGGCCATCACCTCCATGCTCTGAGCCACCTCATCAGGACCGCTAGCTGATTTCCATAGCGTAGTAAGTGTTCCCCCAGGGCCCATGGGCTTCAGACATGGTCACCAGTGTGTGGTAAGTAGTGGGGCTTTTAGTTGTGGCCCAGCAGAGGGACAGACACATCAGGTCACCGAGAGCGTGCCCTTGAAGGAGAACCTGGCCGCCTCTCCTTGTCTCGCTGTGCCCCATCCATCATGAGGTGAGAAGCTCCCTCTCTCTTGCTCTCCTCACTGTGATGGGCTTGGTGCCTCACCACAGGTGTAAAGAAACAAGGTCACCCGACTGTGCATTGAGATGGTCAAAACTGTGAGCCCAAATAAACCTTTCTTCTTTTCAAGACGATTCGCCTCAATTATTTGTTACAGCAGCACAGACTAACATCCCAACCCTGCTCACCCGATCGCTCCAAAGCCCAAGCGCTGGTATTGTGTTGCACTCGTACCTGCCTCGTCCATTTGTCTAGTTAGTGGAGAAACAAGATTTGGAGCACATATCTTCTCATCTGTGGAAGTGAACAGGTGAAGGACCGAACACTTCAATATTCACAAGGGACAGAAGCTGTCAGTCAAGCATCCCAGGGACTAGGACTGTAGAAAGGGGGAGATGCTGGTCACAAGAGATGAGGAAGGCTTCGCACTGAGCTCCGTCATTAATAATCCACACAACACTGACTGTAACCGCCCTCCGTGCCTCTGTGTCTGGTGTGCTTACTGTCTGTCATGAGGGATGCTCAACGCCCAGACTTTTAACAAGTGAGTAAGGTTGGGAGAGTGAGTGTGTTGTCGGGTACGCCATTACTATCCACTCAGATGAAAATTCAGCTTGTCCTAGTGGGTGTGCATCTGGGAAAATAAGGAAAGTCATCTGATGCTCTAGACGAGGAAGCAGACTTCAGTCAAGAGACCACAGATCTTCAGCATGTGTGTTCACACACGTAAGCATGGACACACATACTCATGTCCATGCTGAGGCATCTGCAGGACAGAAGCTTGAAGTAAGGTGACCTTCAATCCTGGGAGGATATGAAAAAAAAAAAAAACATTTTATACCCAGTGGCATCAAGGAGGTTTGGCTTAATCTTTTGAGATAAATAAAATAGTGATAAAATATGTATAGAGCCCAAGAAATTTTGACCTTCACCCCTATCTTTTGTTCCATCCAGATTCCCTCTTGTTTCCTATATTGTTCCACGTGCTCCTTATACTGCTAAGCGATTTCGTTACTATGGAGACAAGAAGATCTGCATAAAGCTCAAACACGATGTTGTACGAAGTGCTTTGACTCTGTCCCACAGCTTCAGAAGAACACAAGGAGAAATGACCACAACCCGATGTTGCAATGTGCTTAGATAAACACGTATCACAAATGCATCTTTTTTGGCAAGGGTGGATATGGGGACAGGCATGTGTGATTAATGAATCAATATCTCACAGATATCATTCTGAATGAAAATCAAGCTTGCTTGGAAAATTCCAGGCGCGTAAGATCACCTTCGCCAAGAGTTACGGCCAGTGGAGTTCAGCCCTCGCACACAGTCGGCCTTGTCTGTGCAACACACACATCCTAGCTTCCTAGATCTGCCTAACAACTGCACACACATCTCAGGGGGGTTCTTTTCTGGTAACTTCTTGAATGGAGATAAAGCAGAGAGTCCTCCTCCTCTTGGAGTTCTTTCCCAGCCTTTGTACTCCCCGTTTCCCCTCTGGAGAGCTTGTTCTCATCCCCAAAGCCAAGCTTCGCCTTCAGACTAACACATATGTATGTCCCTGATGTCATCTTTTGGCCTTGCATCTGTATATGATTCAGCGGTGGTGGAATTTGCTGTAATACTCTGAGATCACTTATTACACTGATAGCTGGGGAGGGGGCCAGAGGGGAAGCCTGGGAACGCACAACCAAAGCTCTACCTAGGCTGCTGATTTATGGGAAAGGCACCAATCTGTGAGAACCCTTCGACAGAAAAGACAGAACGTGACAAAGTATGAGGAATGGGGGGGGGGGGTCAGCTGCTCTGCTCCCGGCCTCCAGCTCTCCCCCTGAGCTCTCTCCCTCCCCCAAATCATTCTCAAGTGTATCATCACGGCACTAGGGAACATTCCTGTCGGGTAACGAGAAAGCGTAATTATATGCTTCAGAGCTGCTGAGGTTTTCTCCTATTTTCAAAACAATGAATATCTTGTGGAAAGATAACACAATTTGTGAATAAGCTGGAATTCTTTCCCTTGAGTATACAGACAGTTGTTTGGAGGGGAACCCAGAAGACAGCTCCATTAATGATTTTATTCCTTGGACAATCTAGCCACATTGTTCTATGGTACACCTAAGAACAAGCTTCTGAGATCACAATCTCTCTCTCTCTCTCTCTCTCTCTCTCTCTCTCTCTCTCTCTCTCACACACACACACACACACACACACACACACACACACACACACGCACCAAGAACACAATCTCTCTCTCTCTCTCTCTCACACACACACACACACACACACACACACACACACACACATTGTTTTTAAGTCCGCAGGACCCACAGCATGAAAAACTCAAGACTGACTTTCACAGACTATATTCTTCACTCCTGTATTTCTATTTCTCACTTCCAATGTGGCTAACGAAAGTGTGGGCAAAGTTTTATGAGTCTCCATGGGTTCCTTGGTGGCCTCCATAGATATAAAATCAGAGTGAAACTGCAGGAGTGTGCAGCAGCACACAGTTCCAGTGGCGGGTCTTTCCTGCAATTATCATACCAACATTCTTTAAAGTGCAGCAAAAAGTCACAGACAACAGTTGTTGCTACGGCTAAAGGAAATAGCATTCAGCTTTTCAAAAAAAAAAAAAATGCCAATCCTCTCAACGTTTCTGTCTACACAGCACTGGCATCCGATTCCACAGGTAAAGAAACCAAATCCCAATGAGAGTTTCCTAGCTCAGTCTTCGTTCAAACTGAACTCTGAACCCAGATTGTCCTCTTCCTGCTATCTCGGGCCACCTTCCCGGGAAGGCTGAGTTGCTTCTACAGTCCCAGGTGGGTAGGGCTGGAGAGATGCCCAGCGATGAAGAGCACTCATTGCTCTTGGGAACGACCTGAGCTTGGTTTCCAGCACCCACATCAGGCAGCTCACAATCACCTGTAACTTCAGCGCCAAGGGACCCGACGCCCTCTGCTGGAATCCTCAGGAACCTGCACTCACATGCACAGACCTGGACACAGAAACGTGGATATACACAATTACACACAATTCTAAATATAATAAAAATAAAAACAGATCATTAAAATATCATGTAAGTGTGATCACTAGTACCCTAGGGTGCTACACTCAGGTTACCCTGAATTCAGCAAGCTTTCACATAAAAATGTAAAGTAATGCTACTGTGTAAGGCTCAGATTACAGGTATGCACCACCATCCCTGGATCTTTTGTTTCTTAGGAAAAAATCCCAGCCACGTGAGGAAAATGTCATAGCAGATGGAGCATATCTTGCCCAGACCGTGTCTGTGTTCTCACAACTGAGCATGATCTTCGTATGGAACCCACTCAAGGGTGGAAAAACAAATGAGTTCTGTAGTTGGACTTTTCTGTCCCACCCGCCAGCTCCCAAATCACGACACAGAGACTTATCATTAATTATAAAAGCTTGGCTGATAGCTTAGGCTTGTTTATAGCTAGCCCTTATAACTTAAAGTAACCCATTTCTATTCATCTGTGTGCTGCCATGTGGCTTGTGGATGTTACCTCTCCTCCTGCATGTCTTGTGTCCTCTGCATCTGGCTGGTGACGTCACCTTCTCCAGCATTCTCTGTGGCCCCCCAAATCCTTCCTAGCTGTTGGCCACTCAGCTTTTAATTAAACCAATCCAAGTGACATATCTTTACACAGAGTAATGAAATATCTTACAACAGAGTTCCCTGAAGTGTCATAGAGGATTTCTAAAATGGAACACAGTTGGGGCAGGACACACTTAGAACCAACTTAGCTTTATGACAGTCTCTTTACCTGGACAAACAGTGGAAGAGGCTGGACCCTGGCCAGGTGGCCTTTGCTCTCCCTCATTCTGTGCCTGCTCTGCATTTGGACAAATGAAAAAGTTAGGCGAGCCAGAAGTAAACTTCATAGTCTTCCTCAGACCATTGGACAGGCATAAAGACTACTCCAGTCTACCTTCGCATTACTTTTGTTATTAGTCATCCCTTGACTATGCATGAGCATTTTTATTAGGTACCCCTGCTCTATACCAGGCAATCATAGAAACATTATATTAAAAAGACCGTTCCCAGAGCATACATTGTTCTGTAAAAACCCATCTAGCAGATCCAGCATGGTCTTCATGTCCAATGAGTACAAACAATAAAAACCCAACCACTGAGGGAGATAAGCCAATAGCATTACCATTCTTAGCTACAAGCAGTGTGTCCATTGAAATGTCCAACTCAATCCATGTCAACACAGTTGTCCATACCACTCATTAAAAAAAAAAGCATAAAACTGTGGCATAAACATGGATGCCCTTTCCCCCTATGTGACCCCAGCCAGAAAAACAATGGCATAGAGATTCATTCAGTACCGCTTTGTTTTGAGTCTTCAACATACCGTATTTGGGCACTCTTCTGAAAGCCATTGAACGAAGCCATGTTGAACCATGAAGCAAAGACCAGATCACAAAGAGATACATAAGCCACTAAAAAGAGTGCTTGCTTAGAAGAACACTGTCCATGGTCAAATGATCCCAGCTGTGTTCTATGGTGGTTTCCAGCCAGCTGCACATTATAACCACATGGGAGATTATTTTAAGTGCCAATACCGGCACCCTTGTCTCAGAATGTCTGACAGTTATTTAACTGGGAATGGAGCCAGAGCACCCTTAAATGTGAAGTTCCCTCAAATGGTCTAAAATGCAGCCAACCAGGTGTGGTCACCCATTCTTGCTCTGTGGAAGGAGCTCCCTGTAGTTTTTGTCCCCTAAAAATCACTTTCATTGTTTTACTTCTTTCTTACCACCAAAGTGACATCTGTTCACCACAAAGAATACTGTAAACACAAGAAAGAAACATCACTCCAAATCCCACCTCTCACAGCTTTCTCCTGCCAACAGTTTGGTGTGTTTTCTTTCTGAGGCAAGTGTTGGTGCTCTTTTTATTGCCCCCAAGAGGGAAGCCAATTTTTAAAATCAATAATAAACGTCAAAGAATTATCTAGTATCGGAGTTGTCAATTAATTTGCCTGTTGCTATAGACAATCTCTCAGCACCCCCCCCATAGCAGTTTCCTAGTTTCATTAATAAATAAAGCTCAGGAGTCAGATATTAGGGTATAAAGCTGATAGATCCACAGAGCAATAGAGAAAATATCAGTAGCCCTCCTCTCCACCTTCTCAGATTGAAAAGGTCTGAGAATCTTCCCAAGCCCCTCCTTCTTCCTCCCTGTGTCTCTCTATCTTCATCCGAGTCAGCCAGAAAACTCTATGGTTTATTCCAGCCTGCTGAATGTGGACTCCACCCTCTGAATCAAGGTTTAATTCCTATGGCTGTCTTAGAGCGATGATACAAACAAATCTCCCTGCAACACCCCACATGCAGAGATGGGGTGGCTTTGTTCAGCCAAGTGTGTTTACCTGAAGGATAATTTTAGTTAAAAGGACTTTAGCCCTCCTTGTACCTGACTTTCTTTTCTTTTCTTTTCTTTTTTCTTTCTTTCTTTTCTTTTTCTTTCTTTCTTTCTTTCTTTCTTTCTTTCTTTCTTTCTTTCTTTCTTTCTTTCTTTCTTTCTTTCTTTCTTTTCTTTTTTTTTTTGTTTGTTTTTCGAAACAGGGTTTCTCTGTACAGTTTTGGTGCCTGTCCTGGAACTCACTCTGTAGACCAGGCTGGCCTTGAACTCACAGAGATCTGACTGCCTTTGCTTCCCAAGTGCTGGGATTAAAGGCGTGTACCACCACCGCCCAGCTGTACCCTTCACCTGTGGCAGAGAGTGACCACTCTCAGGGACTGTATTTTATTCTCCAAAGAGACTGTCAGAGGTGAGGTCTATAGAGTGAGTATCACACCGCCTGGAGGATGAGTCTGTCTCTTCCTGTGTGTGCAGAGCACTAAACTCTATGCAGAATGCAGGACCTTAGAGGACTCTGTGTGTGTGTGTGTGTGTGTGTGTGTGTGTGTGTGTGTGTGTGTGTGTGTGTGTGTGTGTATTTTATTTTATATAGATAGTGTTATTTATATTATATATATATATAGTTTATTTATGTATAGTGTTATTTTAGCTTCACATGAAGATGTTTTACCAAGACTTCACATCAGCTGCATATCACCCGCCTATATGAGGACATCCTAAGAACAGCTCCTAGAAGCTGACTGTCACGTCTATTATGAAAGTATATGCATTACTATGCTAGACATTCCTTGCTACTTGGTTCTCTTTAAGCAAATCCACAAAAATGTTCAGGAAAAGAATTATAGTTTTTATGTATGTCCTTAATCTCAGGGGCCTCACTACTCTTAATTATTCGTTTCCATCTTTTCTTTGGCTGCTAGGAAACTCAGTAAAATTGTAGCATCCACTAGCAATTATACCCAACTATGGTATGTGTTTGTGAATTTCTCCCTAACCCTGCCTGTATGGTGGGTCCATCTTCAATTTCTCTTTAACTACTGAACTTTTTTTTTTTTTTTTTTTTTTTTGGTTTTTCGAGACAGGGTTTCTCTGTGTAGCTTTGCGCCTTTCCTGGAGCTCACTTGGTAGCCCAGGCTGGCCTCGAACTCACAGAGATCCGCCTGGCTCTGCCTCCCGAGTGCTGGGATTAAAGGCGTGCGCCACCACCGCCCGGCTAACTACTGAACTTTAACTTTCAAAGTTAGATGTATGTGTGAGTGTGTGTGAGAGAGAGTATGTGTGATTGGATGTGAGTTTCTGAGTGTGTCTGTGTGTGTGTGTGTAGTCAACATAAACCCGTTCTCCCTAAGTTGCATCCTGTCAAGTACTTGGTTATAGCAACAAGAAAAGTTAAGCAGTGCATAAACTGTAACAGGGAAAAAGAGAGAAAGGGAAGGGTGTGGAGGGAAATAAAAGGGGGGTCCTGCAGGAACAGAGATGCTTAAAAACTGGCTGCGAAACCCTGAGCTACAGAACGTGTTAGGAAAGGACTGATCACCTTGTGTCTGACCTGGCCAGTCAGTGAAGAGTTAAAGGGGCCCCAGGCAAAAATAAGGCCTCATGCATTGCCCATGCATATATATGCCATGGTGGGGGTGAGGGTTGCTGTGTAACAACACTTTTACTAGGGAGACCCCCACACACATCTTCTCACTCCAGAGAGGGAGTCCACCACAGACCGAAGGACGGATACCACCAGGGTCCAACTTGGTGAACCAATGAGTTTGATTGGTCTTACTTAAAGGAATATGGGTGAGGGGTTACTTACTTTTAGTAAGGAGCAGAAGTAACTGAAATAAGCCCAACCCGGCACGGCTTATAAAACTGACATGACAGCTCACACGAGCTGGGAACCTGGAGCACACTGCACAGCCTGCAGGCAGCTCAGCAGGTTGGAGGGTATCTTCTCCAGATGCCTCAGCTGGTCCACACCTCTTCCAGGCCGCTGGTCTGGTCTCAAAATCTTCTCGGCAACTTTGCTAACGTGAGAGTCCTCTTTGCAGAATGGCTCCTTCTTCCCCTGGCGAGGAGGGGCCTGAAGAATCCTGTCGGTTTCAGGGACTTCCTGAAGCTTCCTGAGTTGTTTGCCTTCCTGTCCTAAAGAGTTCCCCTCCACCATGGAATGTTTCATTGTTGGAGGAAACAGTTTCACAACAGGAGAGCTCTTCTGCATTTTAAAAAGTTCGTTTCATTTGTTCTTCATGGTTAACACTTTGAGGAAGGAACCATCAACATTTCCATCCTCAGATGAAAAACAAAAATCAGAAATACAGAAAATGAAGTAACTTTCTGGTTATTCAGCTCTCCATCATTGTCACAAAATACCCAAGAATACCAACCTTGCGGAGGATAGGTTCCTTTGGCTCCGGGCTTCATTCCATGGTCACCTGGCTTCCTTGTTTTTGGCCTGTGATATGGCAGAACACCATGGTGGGGAGGGCGCAGCAGAGCAAAGTAGCTCACCTCACAGAGGACAGGGCCAGAGAAAAAGCGACAGACAGAAGGAGCCAAGGAACAAGATTTGGTCCTCCAAGGCGCGTTCCTAAGTACAGTTCCCTTCAAGTAGGCCTCACTTCCTAAGTGACACGTTTCCCACTCAATTATGAACTCAATATCCCACTAAATTATGAGCTCATGAATGAACTGATCCACTGATGAGGTCACAGCCTTCAGGATCCATTCACTTCGCACAAAGCCTGCGGCGCATGAGCCTGGGCCACCTCCAGATCTACCCTAACCGCTCATCGGCGTCTACGCTGGGAGTGATGAGGTCGGGTTGAAAACCCAGATCTGTTCGCTACAGATCACAGCCTGCAGTAAAGGTTAATTTGCTTCTGTTTAAAAATGGACTGTTAACCGTCTGAGAAATCAAAACTCTAGAGAGCCCTTTCCTCACACTGACAAGTCTCCCGTCTGTCCTGTTCATCTGTGTGTGGTCAGGGTGACTTTCACTTTGGTCTGTTTCTACCTCCCAAGGAAAGGAGAGCAAACTGGGGGAATTGGACAGACTGGCTGGCTGGAAGAGCACGCAGGAAAGCCAACAGACAAAGGGAAGGCTGACGGGACAGAAGGAAGGGAGTGAGGGATGGCGGCACAGACAGGAAGGGGCTCTCACAGAGAGCTCAAAACTTGACTGAGGGCCAGGGGAAAACAAAGAGGATCTTGGCAGGAAGCCTGGCCTGAGAAGTGGCAAGAGCCACAATAGCACCATGCTCAGAGAGACAAGGTTCTGAGGGGTGATGGGGGTGGGGGGAGAGTGAGAGAGAGGGGGAGAGAAAGGGGTGGAGGGAGAGAGGGAGAGGGAGGGAGAGGGGGAGAGAGAGGGGCGGAGAGGGAGAGAGAGAGAGAGGAGGGAGGGAGGGGAGAGGGAGGGGGAGGGAGGGGAAGGGAGGGAGGGAGGGGAAAGGGGGGAGAGAGGGAAGGACAGAGACAGAGACACAGAGACTCCAGCACCTTTGCCTGCCCTAAACCTCAGCTCACCAAGCAAACCCAACTTGATACTTGAGATATGGAAGACGGAACTCACCTCTATTTTTAGGAAGGACTTTCATCTCCGGTTGTAGGCTCTCCAGGATCCTAGTAAAACTCGGTATTTTACAAGCGTCTCCCCGTCCTGGGGGAGCTTTATCCTAATGCAAAGATGAAGCTGGTTCTCAGGTGCCAGTGGACAGCTGCGCCATGCAAAGCAGGGCCCTAGTCACCAGCGCACCGATGCTGGGATGCTGGCCACGTTGCTGGGTGCTTCCATTTGCTCGTTTTTCCCCTTTGGTAGGGGACAGAATCTCCGTTTCATCTGTTTTTTTTTTTTTTTTTTTAAATCACCCCAGTCATTACACAGCTGGTCTTAAAGTCAAAAGATTCCATTCAGGAAAGCACCCGACAGCCCAGCATAAAGACCCCGAGTGAAAATAAGGGCAATTCACTCTTCCTCCTTCTGTGGATTTTGAAATTATTCAAATCTGCTGACAGGTTTCAAGAGGAATGAAAAGAATGTCCATCCACCTCCCACCTAGATAGACTATCGGGTGATATTCTGCCACAGCTCTGCCTCTTGCCTGTGACACAAACGTCCTCAGTCTTTGCCAAACTTTTGAACCTGTAGAAAGGTGGCTACAGATATTATCACCTTTCACTCTACTTAAGTTCCTTAAAATAAAGACATATTCTTTGATAACCACAGTGTAATCATCATGCTGGTAAAAGTTCATGAGATTCATTATCTAACATAGGACACATTCAATGATGCCATTGTATCTGAGCTCTGCCCTGATCATCTAGGATCTTGCCAAGAACAATGGTAGTTGGTTCTTGTTGTTGTGGAGTTTTTTTGTTTGTTTGTTTGTTTGGTTGGTTGGTTGGTTGGTTTGGTTTTGGTTTTTTGAGACAGGGTTTCTTTGCGTAGTAGCCTTGGCTATCCTAGAACTTGTTCTGTAGACCAGGCTAGTCTCGAACTCAGAGATCCACCTGCCTCTGCCTCCCGAGTGCTGGGATTAAAGACATGCACCACCACTGCCCGGCTTGTAGTTGGTTCTTACAGCCCTTTAGGCCCCGCCACTCTTCTCCCCACTCAGTCTTCTGCCCCCTTCAATTCTCTAATAACACTGTTTGAAACTCCAGGTCAGGAGCCGGGCGTTGGTGGCGCACGCCTTTAATCCCAGCACTCGGGAGGCAGAGCCAGGCGGATCTCTGTGAGTTCGAGGCCAGCCTGGGCTACCAAGTGAGCTCCAGGAAAGGCGCAAAGCTACACAGAGAAACCCTGTCTCGAAAAACCAAAAAAAAAAAAAAAAAAAAAAAAAAACTCCAGGTCAGTTGTTTTGTGGAATACGCTCACTTTGGATTTCATTAGCTGTTTCCAGTAAGCACATTCATGTTAAGCAACAGAAATATTATTACATTGACTCACATGAAATTGTTGTTTTTGTTGATCGAAATCCAAGATTTTATGTAGTTCAAGTTAATAAATGCAGGCTATTGTGTCCTTCCCCTTACATGTCATCAAGACCATACAATGTTCACTGGGCTGTTACTGATGATAATAAGTTTGATCCTATGGTTAAGTATGCATTAGAATTTACCATTATCTTACTCTCTTTTGAATTAATAAGAACTCTGGGAATAATTACCCCCCTGCCCTACTCTCCCATCTGGTATTTTATCACTCACTGATGACTATTGTCTATGTGGTAAAAGTAATGATTTTTTGTTCCTGTGATTGCTTACACATTGTCTAGGTGGCATCTTCTATAAAGTATTATACCTCTATTACAGAACCTTTGTTTGTTTTTTCAAGACAGGGTTTCTCTGTGTATCGATGGCTGTCCCAGAACTCACTTTGTAGACCAGGCTAGCCTCGAACTCAGAGATCTGCTTGCCTCTGCCTCCCGAGTGATAGGATCAAAGATGTGCACCACCACACCTGGCTACAGAACCTTTTGTAGACAGAGTACATGTATTCTTTTTCATTTACTATGCCACATAATTCATTCTTACTGTTAGCCCTTATAATGTTTTCCACATTTAAGATGCTTTGAAAAAATTACCAAGTTGCCATTACCTTCCTAATGCCAGGATATATCCCCTCATGATGTGTGTTATCTGCCAGATTTGAACCTGGAGCTCCCAAGGGGCAACTCAAAAATTGCTCATTTATAATCCTGGATTTATGTTGTTTCTGCCTTACCGCTTCTAGAAATATCCTCAAGAAAAGAATTATAATTACATTATTTTTGGTTAATGTTTCCTTCCTCTCTCCTGTTCTTTTTTAAAGTTTCTCTTCCTTCCCCTTATTTTTTTTCTCTCTGGTTATTTGTTTTTCAAGTCAGTTTTGAGTAACTGCTCCATCAGACCATGTGATTAGTACCATCCCAACCTCAGTGTAGTAAGACACAAAGAGATCAAATTCAAAATGAGCCAAATGTAAAACATTCATAAACCTATACAGGAAGACTCATATATTGAGTAAAATCTCCACACTTGGTATCTTAGAAGATAATTATTAAGTCCAATATCAAGTCTTATTCTAATTTAATTTCAAAGAAACACAAAAATTTCACCTAATATTGCAAGCCCAGCATAGCAACATGCATAACATAAAAAGGAGACATTGTACATGTATCACATGGAATTTCTAATAAACAGAAGTCAATTTTATTATTTATCCCTCCCCTATAAAAATTAGAGTTCTGTGATTGATGCTGTCACTACTAACACACCTCATACTGGCTAATTTCTTCTGAACCGTCTTCCAATTTACTAATTTTCTCTATATCTTTATCTATTGTTTTAAAACAACATTGTTGGAATTCCTGGCCACTCCCCCAGCTACATGACCACACATGCGCAGTTCAGTAGCCACGTAAGAGGCCTTATGTCCTACGTAATCCACACGCAGCTTGATCATGCAGTCTATGCGCGTGCGTGGTGTAGCTCCATAAGTCCACATGTGCATGTGCAGGAGAATCCATAAGAAGCGGGACACAGACGCCTCTCCCTCCTTCCCAGCTTGCGGCTTCACATCTCTTGGATATTCAAAGCCTCCTGTTGTGGAGAGGCTTCTATCCAGATAAAGCTTGCTGCCACATCTGCCAGGCTACCTGGAGCCACGCCAGCCTCAGACCTAAAGGAAGCCTGGGCTTGTTTTTCTTTTTTACCTGCAACCCTGTTGATCAAACCCCAGGCTTTGTGCATGACAGACACTTTTCCACTGAGCCATGTTACCTAAGCCTGTAGCCTGAAAAAATTGAAACCATTCAAACAAGAAGACAGCTTTACTGGAAGGCAGATTTGTGTGGCTAACATGTATCGGGGCCACTTCCCCGATACCATCTCTGCTTGGAAACAAGGCCGATTCCTTTGCGTGCCTCTGGAGGTGGAGGTGATGTGCCCCATTTGTAGTTACCCAGCCCTGGGAATCTCAGTTGCAGGGGAGGGTCCTCCTGATAGAGGTTCTTTGCTGGTCAGGCCCCAAGCTTTGTCCGCTGGGCTTTGGCAGTTCGGCAAAGGTCTCTGCAATTTGGTAAAAGTTTCCTCTCAGATATTTTCTCTTCACTAAGAACGGCTCTTTACAATATTCATTTTACCCTTTAATCTGCTTGAAAGCATCTCTGTCTGCAGAACTAAGTTTTATCATTGCTCAGCCAGGTTTGTTTCCTAAAGAGGCAAAATTAATGAAGTTGAGCTGGCTGTGATGGTGGTGCCACACACCTTTAATCCCAGCACTCGAGAGGCAGGCGAATCTGTGAGTTCAAGGCCAGCCTGGTCTACAAGGTGAGTTCTGGACAGACAGGGCTACACAGAGAAACCTTGTCTCAAAAAACAAACAAACCAACAAACAGATGAAAGGGAGAAAATACTGTTTGCTTAATTCTGTGCAATAAATTAGGTGTGCTTCAGCTAGTTCTGATTTTATTTCCTAATAACCCCTATTTCCCAAACAGCTTCGTGAGGATGGCTGGGCTTCTCCCTCTCCCACAGGCCAGGAAATGCACTAATACTTGTTGATTCAAGCAGGAAATGATCGGTCCATTGTGAAGATGGCTGAGCTGTGCTTCATTCCCCTGGCACAGCTTTGGAGCCGAATTCAATTATTTTTTAGAACCCTGGGAGAAGGGTTGGGTAGAAATTCAGTGTCAAGAAACCCTAACATACGAGCGGTGAAGCAGGACCAGGAAGAGAGTCCTATGACCCAGTGGATCTCTTCCTAA